AGGCTCATCTACACCAGACCAAGGCGCCCAACTCCGTGATGAGCAACTTGAGCTTGATTTTCCGAAAACAAAATAGGCGACGGCTGATGACGTTTAACCGCAACACTGGCCCCAACAACCTTAAACGACTTCCACAAAGACTGCAACTGCAAAGGACGAACAGAATCAACTATACACAGCTCCCATCCACCCGGAGCAATTCCAGATATCACATTCGAAGGACGATACGAAAACACACTCGGAAAAGCTGTAGAACGGCTGCGCCCTCGACTAATAGAGCTTCTTCCGCGGTACCCAATTCTTCGACTCGAACGGCTTCTTAGACTCCTTCGCCGGCGACTTCGGCGTACGACTCCGCGACCTCTGCCTCGGCCGTAACCTCGCCCTGTAATTTTCCTGTATCCTTTGAGCACCCTCCCTGAGTATGCCATTCCCCAATATCCTTTGAGCACCCTCCCTGAGTATGCCATTACCAATATCAACCAAAGCGTCCGTAGCAGTACCCGGATCTCCCGGCTGAGCAGAAGAAGTTAATGGGACGGAAGACAATACAAGACTTACGTAGCAGAATAATTAAGGCCACTGCAGGATCATTTGCCGACCAGTTTACAGCACACGCAACACAAGGATCACGGAAGAAATGGACTCAAGTCAACAGGTGGTGGGTCTGGTGAACCACGTCCATGACGTGGATGCCCAGGCCACAGAATATTCAACCGACAACCTCTCTAAAAAAACCCAACAGTATTTTTTCCCCAATAGTACTTTTTCAATATGGTCCGAACGGATACCTTGCAGATCAGTGCCTAGTAACACCGTTGGCAGACGGGAGAGTGAGAGTCATTGAGCAAGCGTGCCAGTGTGTGATGGTGGTCTGCGCTTACTCTGGCGGTCGTGGATCAGTTTCCTAGGGGGCGTTTGCGGAGGAGTAGGCAACAAGCCCGTGGCCGCCAGCCGTGGAGGGGGGGGGGGGGGAGCACGGCTTGGAGCGGCTCCTCAAGCAGCAGACTGGATGGGGGCCGCATGCATGCATCTGCCGGATTCGACTCGGATCAGGAGGAAACGCCATTCTTGAGCACAAATGAGCTTCTGTCGGACATTCTATACGAGGCCGAGATCTTCGGGGAGGGGCAACCGGCAGAGGGTTGGCAAATACTGCCATTGGTTCGTCGCATCGGCACCCATCGTGATGGCGAGCCTCTCATCTCCGTTTTTCTCGCACCCTTCACGCGCTGCAGCGACCAACCGGGCATGGCACGCTACATGCTCGTTCAACTGCACGGACTCATAGCGGAATGCGATCGATACTCAATCGTGGCCTTCTTCCACCGATGCCTACCCGTGGCGGACCAGTCGTTTACACTCTTACAGAACCGTAAG